TCAGCCACTGCCTTACCCATTCAACAATATTTGAATCCAAACTTAAAGATTGCAGTTTATTGATAAGCCTTCTATGTGCAACAGTGTCAAAAGCCTTACTGAAATCTAGGTAAGCAATGTCTACTGCACCACCCTGATCTATAATTTTAGTTACCCAATCAAAAAAATCAATAAGATTAGTTTGGCATGATCTCCCTGAAGTAAACCCATGTTGTCTCTGATCTTGAAATCCATGTGTTTTTAGATGTTCATCAATCCTATCCTTTAACATGGTTTCCATCACTTTCCCCACTACTGAAGTAAGGCTTACTGGCCTATAGTTGCCCGACTCCTCCCTATTACCTTTCTTGTAAATGGGCACAACAGTGGGCAGCCTGTGGCTCGTGCAGCCCCCGCTACCTGTATTCTGCAGGGGGCCCAGCAAACTTGAAATATACTGCCCAGATGCTCTGCTCTGTCGAAGTCTCGCAAGCCGTATGGAGCGTTGCCTGATGATCGCGTAGCTCGTGGGGCTCCCCCCTGCGCGCTTACTCTGCATGGGCTGGGGCCTCAACACATGGCGGCGGGCACCTGGTTGCAGGGGTCGCAGGGCTGCGCCCCCAGCAACTGCGGTATGTACGCCAGTGCATGCAGATACACTTAAAGGACCACTACAGACACCCAGATCACATCAGCTCAATGAAGTGGTTTAATAGACATGCCCCTACTAGCTGGGTCACATGCTGCACTGACCAATCACAGCCATGCCATTAGGGCACACCCTTGTTGATTGGCTGCCCTGCAGTCTTTCAAAATGCGTCATTAAATCGCCGAACACCGAAATCCAACCCGAACATACAGTGATATGTCTGGGGTCCAAAAAACGTAATGTTCGGTACTAGCGCTGCCTTCAGAAATGATGGGGCCCCTGACACAGCTCAAGGTCTGGGCCCCCCAGGTGCCTGCACCCGAGTCCGCCCAAAGTGCTGCCCCCCTCTGAGTCTGCCCACAGGGATGCAGTGTCTGTACTGATTCTGGTGTGTGTTTAGTGGATGTAGAATGTGTGTAGTGGATGCAGAGTTTGTGTGTTAAGTGGATGGGTGTGTGTTTAACGGATGCAGTGTGTATAGTAGATGCAGAGTGTGCATTTGTGTAATGTATGAGGTGTATATTAGATGCAGAGTGTGTGTTTGTGTAGTGGATGTAGTGTGTGGATTATAGTGAATGCAGAGTGTGTATGTGTGTTTGTGTAGTGGATGTAGTGTTTGTGTGTATTAAATGTGATGTGTATAGTGAATGTAGAGTGTGTGTTTGTGTAGTGGATGTAGTGTGTGTGTAGTGAATGCAGAGTGTGTGTAGTGGATGTAGTGTTTAGTGAATACAGTGTGTGGATGCAGAGTGTGTCTTTGTGTAGTCGATGTAGTGTGTGTATAGTTACTACATAGTGTGTGTTTGTGTAAGTATTTAATGTGTGTATTGAAGCCCATGGAGCAACGAAGTAAGGGGAGTGGGCCTTGACAGAGCCAGGAGTGGGCAGGTGCAGTCAGTTAGGGGTTGGCTTAAGCTAATGGAGCTTGGGGGCGGGATTAAAGGGGGTTAAAATAACGGCCATCTTAGAGAGTGGCCATTTTAATCAGAACTTCACTTACCTGTTAGTTGTCCAACCCACCCTCCCTGTTTTGAGGTGAATTTCCCGTTTTGTCACAGCGGCGGGAACAGGGCGTGGTTAAGTTGGAAGTTATCAGGGAATTGGAACTGTACAGGCCAGGGCCTAGGCTGAAGTAGGCCAGACGGTGTCATGGTTGGTAGGTTCTAGCTCTTCGGTGGCGACGAACCTGGGGGTGTAGGGGTGTCTGGGTACACCCCTACAGTTATCATTATGATATGGGGCCTCGTTGGTAGGCCGGATGTTTACAAGTTTATTGGTAATTGATGTTAATTATTGTTCATGTGGTAGGGTCATTGTCAGGGGATTGTGCGGGGGGATAATAAATAATGTCATTTATGACAATGACCCTAAATATGTTAATTTATTCATATTAATAAAGCTGTGGACGTTATACTCCAACAGTATTAAACGTGTCCGTGTATTATTAAAGTTAAAGTTTATAGCACATGCCGAACAACGACAGTGCAAATGTCAAGTGACTGCAGACTGTGTGTTTGTGTAGTAAATGTAGTGTGTGTAGTGACTACAAAGTGTGTGTGTGTGTGTGTGTGTGTTTGTGTAGGTACTGCAGAATGTGTGTTTGTGTTAGGAAGTAGTGTGTGTAGTGACTGCAGACTGTGTGTTTGTGTAGTAGATGTAGTGTGTGTAGTGACTACCCCTACGACTGCGGTATGTAAGCCAGTGCATGCAGATACACTTAAAGGACCACTACAGACACCCAGATCACATCAGCTCAATGAAGTGGTCTGGGTGCCAGGTCCCTCTAGTTTTAACCCTGCAGCTGAAAACATAGCAGTTTCAGAGAAACTGTTATGTTTCACTGAGGGTTAATCCAGCCTCTAGTGGCTTCCGCAATTATCACTGTGAAAATCACAGTGAGAAGACACTGAACGTCTATAGGAAAGCATTGAGTAATGCTTTCCTATGGGCAGTTTGAATGCGCGTGCGGCTCTTGCCACGCATTTGCATTCAGAGCTGAGAGGCGGATCAGGGCGGAGAGACCCCCAGCGCCAAGGGAGTACGGCGCTGGAGAAAAGTAAGTACTTAAGACACACACACTTTCACGAACAGACGCATACACATTAGCTAACAGACACACACATTTACTGACAGACACACACTCAGTGACAGACATACACACACTCTAAAAACACACACACACTCTGACACACACTCTAACACTAACACACACACACACTAACACACACACACTCTAACACGCACACTCTAACACACACACACACTAACACACACACAGACACACACTTTTTTTTTTTAAATTTCATCCCCCCAGACTCCCTACCTTTGGGAGTGCTGAGGGGATTCTCTGCGACTCCGGTATGTACGCCACTGAATGTGAGGCCGGGACTACCCGAGCAGTCCGGGCCCCCCAGGACCGCAGGGACCAAGACAACCGTTATGGTTGTCATGCCCTGATGGCGGCTCTGTTCGGGTCGCGCAACTCTAATCACAGTCTGTTATAATTCATTTTTCCATGATGTATTGAGACATTTTTGGGACAACATCTCCAACTTACATATCTACAGGGGCACATCTTTGAATTTTATATATCACCCAAAAATCCTGGCAGGGTGGACTTTGTTCCTGGTAATGTCCAACATGTCAATTTTACTATAGCATTCAGTGCATTCCACACTACTGATGATGATAACAGAATATCCCATTGATTACTGAGAGTGAACTAAATGCGTAAATGTAAAGAGTTTTGCATTAGGACAAGTGAAATAAGTTTGTACATACATTATTTCTGTAGTATACCATTGGGCTTTTCCTATAAGACCAGAGTATTTTTTTTTTACTAGTTTCCAACTGCATACTGGGATTCCAGATTTTATTATAACCAAGACATGGCAAAATGTGACTCACGAGTCGCATGCAGCTCCTTAGAGGGTCCAGTGCGGCTCTCATTGCCTCATTCCCCCGGTTACCCCATTTGGTTCTGTTGAATGCGCCAATAAATGTAATGGCGGCTCTTGAATATTTAACATTTTTACGAGGCTCTTACAGATATGACGTTTGGCTACCTCTGTGATAACCGAAAAAACAGACTTTTTATAAATGATAAAAATTATAATTTTAGTGTGGTTTTGTCCTAATGACATATTCATTTTAGGCATGAACATAACACAGACACAAGACAGCAGCAATTCATGCAATACACAAACATGTTACCTCTCCATAAAATTTTATTTTGTAAATTATAAGAACTTAATATTTTCCACTTATTGATATATTGTTTGGTGATCTACTAAGATGTAGTTTGACTGGGGCACTTTAACTCAAGATTAAATATTATGTTATTTAATTGTGTCAGTACACTACAGGGTTTCTAATGCAGCTATAATTTTTACACAAATCAATCTGTGAATCTTGATATACACAAATCCATGAATTACAGAAAACATAGATCTGTTTTAATGGCAGATAATTCAAATCAATGGGGGATGCTTGAAATCAAATTAACTAGATGATTTACATCAGGCTGCCTAAAGCATTGCTCTTACCAGAATCTGTTTGTAAGCCGTAATACAATAATTTAATAATATTATTAATCAACGTATTATCGTCAAATCTTTCTTTTATCAAGTGCAATCATTTATAATGCAACAAGTTCTAATTTTGAAAGCAATATAAGTAAAAAAGAAGGAATATGCTAGGGATAAAAATGTGGAAGGGATGTTGAGATTACAAGAATTTTCACAGTCTTAGTTTAATCTACTGAATCTCAACAGAGGGTATACACTGGGTAACTATCATTTTGCACTGCATGGGAATCTAATTTATATGGGAATACAAGTGTCACAGCTTAAAGGGACACTATAGTCACAAAAACAACTTTAGTTTAATCAAGCAGTTTTTGTGTATATAGATCATGCCTTAATTCACTGCCATTTAGGAGTTAAATCCCCTTTGTTTCCATGCAGCCTCACCTACTCTGGCTGTGGCTCACAAAGTCTGCATGAAAAAAAATGGTTTTCTTTCCAATCTGATGTTAACCAACATTAGAATGTTTTATGTCTTGCTTTGTAAATTGAACGTTAATCAAACTCAGGAGGCTCTTGCAGGGTCTAGCAAGCTGTTAACAGAGCAGGAGATAGGATATTTTAAATTTAAATAGAATATGCAATAAAGTATAAACATTAGGTTCCACTTTACAGGAAGTGTTTAAGAAGGCTGTGTGAGTCATATGCAGAGAGGTGTTACTAGGACTGCATAAACACACTGGTTTAATTTCTAGGTGGTAGAGAATAGTGATGTCGCGAACGGTTCGCGAACTTGCTGCGAACGGTTCGCCACGGTTCGCCATGAACCGTTCGCAGCGAACTCCGGTCAGCTGACACATCCCTGCCAATCTCCGGCAGACCCTCCCTCCCAGACCCTCCTACTTCCTGGACAGCATCCATGTTGAAGGCAGCTTCAACATGGATGCTGTCCATGAGGTGGGAAGGTCTGGGAAGGAGGGTCTGCCGGAGATTGGCAGGGATGTGTCAGCTGACCGGAGTTCGCCGCGAACGGTTCGTGGCGAACCGCGGCGAACCGTTCGCGGCAAGTTCGCGAACCGTTCGCAGCAAGTTCGCGAACAGTTTATACACCACAACACTGCTCCATTAAGCTAAAGTTGTGGTGACTTTAGTGTTCCTTTAAAATTCATTACAAAATACTCATAATAAGAGAAAAATAATTTTATTTTAGAACAGTGGTTCCCAAACTTTTTAGGTTCAAGGCGCCCTTAATATTTCAGTATTTTTCCAAGGCACCCCAATTCAAAATTTCTAGGTTTCGTATCTGTACAGCACTGCTGCATTTACTGGTGCTATAGTGTAATGTACAGTTGTTGGTGTTTGAAGGGGTGCTTGTATATAGTATAGTATATAGTTATTGTGTCATAATACAGGGGTGTGTTTGTATGTAATGTTCACTTGTAAATGCGCATGTACATTTGTGTGAAGGGGTGTGTTTGTATATATGTTTTTGAGTTTGAATGCAGGGGTTTAAATGCAGGGGTGTGTGTATGTAATATTCATGTTAAATTGCAGGAGTGTGTTTGTATGTTGTGCTGGTGTTTGACTGCTTGGATGTATGCACATACACTACCACATATATACATACATACATACTTGCACAGATACACAACAACATATACACACATGTACCCTGACACACAAACATTGATACATGCCCACACCATGACACAGATATACACACTGACATAAAAACACACACCCTGACACACAGACACACATACACAGATGCAGTGGCGTACACATGACCCATGGGGCCCCGGTGCGAAAATTGATCCGTGGGCCCCCCCCCCCGCGCCCGCTTTCTTGGTGCGGGTCAGGGCCGCAACACATGGCGGCGGGCACCTGGTCGCAGGGGTTGCAGGGCTGCGACCCCGCGACCGCAGTATGCACACACACTTAAAGGACCACTATAGTGCCAGAAAAACATACTCTGGGGAGAGGAAGGGGTTAAAATCTTACCTTTCTCCAGCGCGGGCGGGGAGCTTTCCTCCTCCTCTCCTTCTTCCTAGCAACGTCATCGGCTGAATGCCGTCCTATGGACGCTGGCGTCTTCTCACTGTGATTTTCACAGTGAGAAGCACGCAAATGCCTCTTGGGGCTGTCAATGAGACAGCCACTAGAGGCTTTAGAGGCTGGATTAACACTCAGTGCTATGTTTATTAAAAAAAAGGGTTAATCCTAGCTGGACCAGGCACCCAGACCACTTCATTAAGCTAACGTGGTCTGGGTGCCTATAGTGGTCCTTTAAAGGACCACTACAGACACCCAGATCACATCAGCTCAATGAAGTGGTCTGGGTGCAGGCTCTAGTTCTAACCCTGCAGCTGAAAACATAGCCATTTCAGAGAAACGGCTATGTTTCACTGAGGATTAATCCAGCCTCTGGTGGCTGTCTCATTGACAGTCGCTAGAGGAGCTTCCACGATTCTCACTGTTAAAATCACAGTGAGAAGACACTGAACGTCCATAGGAAAGCATTGAGTAATGCTTTTCTATGGGCGGTTTAAATGCGCGCGCACCTTTTGCCGCACATGTGCATTCGGAGCTGAGATACAGAGGGATCCCCAGCTCCAAAGGGAGTCCGGCGCTGGAGAAAGGTAAATGCTGAAGATACACACATCTCACGAACAGACGCATACACACTAGCTAACAGACACACACATTTACTGACAGACACACACTCAGTGACAGACATACATACACACTCACTTACAAAACATACACTTTCACAGACAAACACACACTCAATAACAGACATCAAACATACTCAGTAACACACACACTAACACACACACACTAACACACACACACTAACACACACTAACACTAACACACACACTAACACACACACACACTAAAATACACACTAACACACACACACTAACACACACTAACACACACACTAACACACACACACACTAACACACACATTAAAACACACACACTAACACTAGCACACACACTAACACACACACACTAACACACACACTAACACTAACACACACACTAACACACACACTAACACATTTTTTTTAAATTTAATCCCCCCAGCCTCCTTACCTTTTGGAGAGCTGAGGGGATTCCCTGGGGTCCAGTGGTGCTGCTGACACCCGGCAGGCAGGTGGGAGGGCGCGCGAGGGAGCACTCTCCCCTGAGTGCTTCCTCTTCAGCTCCCTCACGCGCCGCGTAGGAATGCCGGAGCCGGAAGATGACGTCATCTTCCGGCTCCGGTATCCATTCGGTGCGCGAGGAGCTGAAGAGAAAGCACTCAGGGGAGAGTGCTCCCTCGCGCGCCCGCCCGCCTGCCTGCCGGGTGTCATCAGGGCCAGCCTCGGGGGGCCCTGAGGTGGCCGGCTCCTGGGCCCCCCAGGAGAAGAGGCTGGCCCTGTGGGTACATACCGGGTTGCAGGGGACCCTGGTATGTACGCCACTGCACAGATGTGTGCGCAGACACAGAAGCACACTGACATATATATATATATATATATATATATATACATACACACACACTCACACTCACAAACACCCTGACACAAACACACTTATGCTCACTCACACACACACTCACACACACACACACACACTCATACACATACTCACACTCATACACATACTCACACTCACACATTCAAACTCATACACACACATACAAGTGATTTTTTTGTTTTATATCTCCAGCCATCTTCCCTTCAGCTTACCTTATGTGCCAGGAGGGTGGCTTGGAGTCCTGCTGCTGTGGGAGTGAGAGGTCTGAAGATATTCATGCTCCTCTCTCCTTAGTTGTGGCTGCCTCCCTCCTGCACTGCCAGCCTGTAGGATGCTGGGAGGAAGTGACAGGCTGTCATTTCCTCCTAGTCAGCCGACATTACAGGGGCCCGGTCGTGGTCTTAAAGGACCACGGCACCCAACCGTGCCCTGTTCAGCAGTAATGTTTCCCCGGTGCTATAATCATAGCACCAGGGAAATATTTGGCGGCACCCCAGTGTGCACGTTGCCGCGCCCTTTGGGAACCGCTGTTTTAGAATGTCATTTTGTACAAAGCAAGCAATTTAAAGATGAACATTGCATTTAACATTTTTCAGCTTAAATATCTCAAATGTGCATTTGGATTTCATGCTTTTTTATCACAACAGAAAATAAAACTTTGGACATACAAAAAATATTATGGGAAGGTGACCTCAATCGAGTACGCATTTCTCTGATTTATCTAAAACATTCTTTGCCTTTGTTATTCCCTCTCAAATCAATGGACTCTTTTTGTAGAAGGATTGTTTTGTGCACAGCTAAGCAGCTCAGAAATTTTAGGCGTTCTTTAATACTATGGTTTTAAAAGGACTCTTTGAAATGAAAAAGCAGCTGTCATTATAGCCCAAACATGCTCACCTGTGCATAAGTTCAGCCAGAATAAATGGAAAAAAACTATAAACTAGAAGCAGTGCCAGCTGTATGTAGTTCCCAGTGTTCTAAAAACATGAACTGAATGCCCATAGGCAAGGGAAATGAAAACAAAACTATTTATCAAGATTTCTAGAACAAAAGCTTTGGGTTATTAGGTGCACAGTGGATATTAAAAAGGAGGAAGATAAAATGTCATAGGAAAGACGCTGTAAGTGAAATTACTATTGATACTACATAAACATTAAAAAGCAGTCGTGTACACATGACCCACGGGGCCCAGGTGCGAAAATTGATCCGTGGGCCTACCCCTCCCCGTGCATTCCTCTGCACGGGCCGGGGCCGCAACACATGGCGGCGGGCACCTGGTAGTAGGGGTCGCAGGGCTGCGACCGCGGTATGTACAGCTCAATGAAGTGGTCTGGGTGCCAGGTCCCTCTAGTTTTAACCCTGCAACTGAAAATATAGCAGTTTCAGAGGGTTGTTACACACACAGTAACACTCACTGACACACACACACTCAGACACACAAACTAACACACACACTGACACTCACTAGCAGACACACACTCAATAACAGACACACAAACTAACACACTCCCTGACACTCACTAGCAGACACACACACTCTAACACTAACACACACACACACACACACACTGACACTCACTAGCAGACACACACACTCTAACACTAACACACATAAACAAACACATGTTTTTTTTTAAATTTAATCCCGCAGCCTCCTTACCTTTGGGAGAGCTGAGGAGATTCCCTGGGGTCCAGTGGTGCTGCTGGGCGGCCGGTCACCGGACGGGCTGGCTGGCTGTCCAGTGGGGCTCAGGGAACGCGAGGGAGCACTTTCCCTGGCTGAACGTTCTCTGCCCAGCTCCCTCACGTGCCGCTTACTGATGCCGGAGTCGGAATATGACGTCATATTCCGGCTCCAGCATCAGTACGCGGCGTGCGAGGGAGCTGGGCAGAGAGCGCTCTGGGGAGAGTGTTCCCTCGCGCACCCGCAGGACCGGGCCCGGTCGCAGCCGCGACCCCTGCGGCCCCGGTATGTACGCCACTGTTAAAAAGTAATCTAAGCATTGCATCCAATGTAATATGTTTTTTTTTCAAAGTATAATTTTTATACTTATACAATAATTTTTATTGTAAGATAAATTGGATGATTTTATAGCATGAGATAGTAAGAACATTACACACCTGCACATAACATAAGAATAAATAAATGAATGGAAAGTGTAGAATGGACATGGTTAAGTGGATACTCATCTTACCGCATGAAATAATTCCATCTACATTGGAGCATTTAATAACCTTGTAATGAACAAATTGACTATGCTTTATTTAAAGGAACACTATAGTGACAGGAATACACTATTTAGGCCCCAGACCCATGTAAGCGATTTACAAGTTGAGTTTACACACCTTTATCCAGTGCAGTATGGGTCCATGTGCGGCTGGCCCTGACAGTGCACTGCCCCTTGGCTGAGATCATCAAAATTGATCATCTCAGTCAATCCATAGGAAAGCATTCGAGGCCAATGCGCATGCATGGTAAAACACTGCCATTAGCATAACCTCATAGAGATGTACTGAATCAATGTATCTCTATGAGAAACGTTCAGCACCTCCATGCAGAACGTGAAGACACTGAATGTCAGTGCTGGACTTTGTACAGCACTGACCCAGGAAGCACCTCTAGTGGCCGTCTATGTGAAAATGCAGTGTTTACATTAAAATGCAGGGACAGGCTATTGACAGCAGAACAAATACATTAAGCTATAGTTGTTCTGATGACTATAGTGTCCCTTTAATTATATAGATTGTGTTGTATAAAAATAAGCAGGCAAAATGCATCTCAAGGTTACTATCAAGATTTTAATACCCTGCAGGGTATGTTTTAGAGTCTTATATATACCAATAATAATGATCTCAAAGTTGATTGGTGCTTTTCAGAATCATCACAGTGATGTTAATGATTTGTATTTTATAAACTAATATTGCTAATGAGGATTTTAAACTTTTCATGTGGGAAGGTGTGTGAACCAGGACTGTGGAATGGTGTCTAAAACCATAACCACAACATCAACACAAACTGCCCCTGTAGCACAACACCTACTCACCGTCATTATTTCAAATATGCCATAGTAACTCAGATTGTTTTATGATCAACAAAACAAACAATAGGATATCAAAGTAAAGGTTTTTCTATGTATGAATTTGTGTAACCCGTGAACAGGTTAAGTCTGGTTATATCACAACCATTCTCAAAACTATATTAACTTAACTGTAGTATACAAAGTGCCAGAAGTCCCCCCCTCTGGCAGTAAGTGTCCATATCACACACCATCATACTCACTTGCTCTAAGTGGTCAATTATCTAATTCAAGCCTACCATATATCCCCTTGAATATATTTAGCCTGGAGGGTGTCTTGGCCAACCTTTGTGAAAGAGTGTAGAAATAAATAATACATACTTTTCTATGAATGAAATATAATGGTATTTACTGCATCTACCAAATTAATTTATGAACTCCAATGGATAATCTGTGTTAGAGAAGTCAAAATGAACACTGTATTAAATATCACCTAGGTGCCAAAGGGTTAAATAGAATGAGAGTTTAAGAATTTGGAAATATTGAATAGCCAAATACCCTGCTCCCAGTAATAAATATTACTATGATGGCTTTTGTGTGATATGGACAACATTTCAGTATCTTTTTCATTCCGATTTCATTTTCATATATCTATTATATAAAATGATTCTGCTAATTGAAGGCAAATTTATATAGCAATTTAATCTCTGTATATTCTGATATATATCTTCTTTTGCAAGGTTATTGTGCCCTAGCTGCACTCGTCAGCACATGTCACAAAAGCTGCATAAGGTGGAAAATGCAAAGTCAGCCGCACTCAAGTACCGACGGAAGATTCAATTGGCAATAAATGACTGCGCGGAAAAGCAAAACTGCTTGGATGAGATAATACGAGTGGCTACGGAAGAAAGGAATAAACTTGAAAGCTTATTTAAGTCCTTGGAAAATATGTCATTAAGTAGCAATGACATAGAGTTGCTATCTCAAAAACAACTTCATAGAAAACTTAAAGAATATTCTTCTGTTGCATTTGAGCCTCAAATACTAATACAGCAAATTTCAAAAAGGTTTGAAAAGCACTGCAGTAAGGGAGACCTTCTCAGACCTCCTGGATTCTGGAGCTTTACTGATACTGCAGATATATAATTATCTGTCTATTTTAACAATATTAACACTGATCCAGAGGGGATCCGATTTTGACACAGAGAGAGAAAAAGAGGGGGATAGAGAGAGGGGAATATAGAAATAGAGAAAGGGTAAATGATAAAAAGAGAGATAGAGAGGGGGATATAGAAATGGAGAAAGGGTAAAGGATAAAAAGAGAGATAGAGAGGGGAATATAGAATTTGAGAAAGGGTAATGGATAAAAAGAGAGAGAGAAGGAGAAAATGAGAAAATGGTAAAGAGAAAGAGAGAGATTAGGAGATAGAGAAAGGGAGAAAGAAACAGAGAAAACTGGTAAAGAGAATGGATCAAGTAATAGATAAAGAGGTAAAGCAAAAGAGATGGAATAGAAAATGAGTGAAAGAAAGGAAGACAATGATTAAAGGGACACTGTAGGCACTGTACTGCTTTATCTTATTGAATTGGTTATCGTGTCTGGAGTCCATTTACCATCAAACAGCTTTCAATGTTTTAATGCTAGACGAGAGTCCCCACCAGCTCATATTGCTCGGGCTAATGAGGAAGCATTATCCTGAGCAGCAATGGGCAGCTGCAATTGGCTGACAATGTCATTTAACTGCTCTCAGCCAATCACAGTTCCCATTGCTGGTATGACTTGGTATGTGTAGAAGGAAGTGTGTGTCATCTCTTTCTTAGTAATAACTACAGTAGAGGTCGGGCTGTGGGTGACCAGAGTTAAACTGCTCGAAAATGGGCACTATAAGCAAAAGAGAAAGAAGTAAAGAGAGTGATGGGTAAAAAAAAAGTAAGATAAAGAGAGAGGGGAAGGAAGGGAGGGATCTCAACAAAGGACTAATTTCCAACTTTGTGACTAAATAGCTGTTGTAAACTGTACTATTAACAACAGCCAGTAGCTAGTAGTAGCTACAATTTACTGACAGGCGTCCAGTTGCTGTCTATTACTGTCTGATCACCAATAAACAATCAGCTTCCAAACCAATTGATCACTTGCAGAATAGCTCTCTGCAGGTAAAGCAGAGTAACACACACCAAGCAGCTTGTTAGTAGAGCAAACAATCACATCTTGCAGGTAAAAAGGGTTCTCTCTAAACATCTGTACTTCTCCCTGTGATTGGCTGTAGCAGGAGATAGCGATAATGTATACAATCTATTAAATTGTGAGTTTGCGATATGTCAGATAAATATCTATGCAACTTTTCACTCCTGCTGTGTAGTATATTCATTTAAATGACAAATGCATTTTACTTATTTTTACTTACTTTTTTACTTATTTTACTATTTTTTTGTTTTATTATTATTTTTTCTTGTATGTTTTAATATGGTTTGATATGTTCTTTAGGATTCCTAAGTAATGTCATGTAGTTAACTTATATTTTTTCTAAAGGATGTACAGGCTACCCTAATTCTCTGGGACTTCAATATTCCCATTAACCCACCTTTGACCTCAGCAGCCTCTAAACTACTTTCAATTACTACCTCCCTCGGGCTATCACAGTGGGCTAATTCTCCCATCCATGAAGCTGGCAATACCCTAAACCTCATTTTCTCTTATGCATGTACAGTAACTAATATCAGCAACATTTCCTCTCTCTGATCACCACTTCTTATCTTTTGCTCTCAAGTACCCCCTCAACAACCTCAGCCTAACCCCCCTCAACTCAGGAGGAACCTTCATTCTATTGACCTCCAGCAGCTGTCAGCTGATATAGATTCACAACTGCTCTCCATCCCTTCCCTCTCCTGTCCCTCACTGGCCATCTCCACATATAACACTACCCTCACCTCTGCCTTGAACGCTGTAGCTCCGCTCCAAACATGCACCTCAAGGAAGACACGCCACGAACCGTGGAATACTAAATCAACATGCTACCTGCAAAGATGCTCCCGTTGTGCTGAATGCTCCTGGAGGAGCACCTAGGAGCACCCAGGCAGACTATCTCCATAGATACATATTGTGTTCATACAGCGCAGCCCTTGCCCTTGCCAAACAGTCATACCTTTCCTCTCTCATTAGTTCATGCTCCCGCAATCCCAGGCCTCTCTTTGACACCTTTAACTCTCTTTTTCTTAATCCTGCTGTGGCCACCCTCCCAAACTAACCTTACAGCCGATAGCTTTGCATGCTACTTTACCAGCAAGATTGAACAGTTAACGAAAGAATTCTCCCCACCTTACCGTTCTCTTTATCAAACACACATAGATTATGCCTTATCTACCCTTCAGACTTTCTCCCCGGCTACTGAACAAGAGGTGGCTGTGCTTCTCCTTTCCTCTCACCCCACCACTTGCCTGCTTGATCTTGTCCCATTTCACCTTATCAGATCTCTCTCCTGTTGTCTTGTGCCATCCTTAACACACATCTTAAACTACTCTATCTCTTCTGGCATTGTCCCTGCTGACCCTAAACATGCCACTGTAGTACCTATCGTGAAAAAAACATCTCTTGACCCGTTCTCCCCCTCTAACTATCATCCCATATCCCTGCTCCCTTTTTCCTCAAAGCTTCTGGAAAGACTTGTCTTTACCCGTATGCTGCACTTCCTCAATTCCAACTCTCTCCTTGACCCTCTTCACTCTGGCTTCCACCCCCTCCACTCTACTGAGACTGCTCTTATCAAAGTTACTAACGACCTAATTGCAGCTTAATCCAAAGGCCACTACTCCATACTTATTCTTATTGACCTCTCTGCTGCCTTTGACACCACTGATCATGTTCTCCATCTTCAAACTCTTTAATAACTCGGTCTCTGTGACTCTGTCCTCTCATGGTTTTCCTCTTATCTCTCCCAATGCTCATTCAGTGTCTCTTTTTCTAATGATACCTCCACCCCTCGTCCTGTCTCGGTTGGAGTCCCCCCTCGGTTGGTCCCCTTCTATTTTTTCTTTATACTGCCTCTCTTATTACCTCATTTGGATTCCACTACCACCTATACAATGACACCCAGATATATCTCTCCTCCCCGGATCTCTCACCTGCAGTCCTGCAACGTGTCACTGCTTGCCTTTCTTCCATGACTGGATGTTCTCCCGGTTTTTTAAACTCAATCTCTCTAAAATTGAGATCCTTGTCTTTCCTCCTCCTAATACTGATGTCCTATTTATAGTTAAGCCCCCCCATAATATTGTAAAGCTCTACGGAATCTGTTGGCGCTATATAAATGGCAATAATAATAATAATAATACAATGATGTAGCTGCTGTTAACTTCTTTGCAACAGGCTAATATTTAGTTTTGAGGGTTAGCAGAAACCAGTCACTAAGATGCAGTTAGCAGCTCCCATTGAGAATAATGGGAACCACTAGTCCTTCTGGCTGATACTTCTCTGTCACTACTGGTAAACATTTACAGTTGGTATAAAGCCACTATCACTTCACTAACAATAAAAGCAGGTATGAGCAGTGTCTCTCCAAAAAAAAAAGGAGAGACAACATTGGAAATAAGTCTAAAGTGAGCTAAAATGATAACCTAAGAACGTTATTTAAAGTCAAGTTAGGGCAATATTAAGATCAGTTGGCTATGTTGGTAATGCAATCCAAAAACACTGTTTTTTTTTTAAATTTAGGCTAATTATAAAAAATGTGAAGTACTTTAACATAAATCAAGGTTTTATGCATATGTAAGATGTTTATCACAGCTTGACAAAATTATATTTCTGATAGACTATGCAATTAATGGCACTCAATAAACATTTTGACGAGAATGCAAAACACCTCCCATCAAAAAGAAAATTAAATTGTTCCTAATTTGGCTCTTTATCGCCTTTGCAGTACAATAATGATTTAGATGTTTTAACTCAAGGTGCTGTGAATTGTTGACAAATTGCACAAATTTAGATAAATTTAGCAAAATTGGAAAAAAAGTTGGTTGTCAGCTGATCCCAGTTTTCTGTACAGTGAAAACAAAAACTTTATAAACATATGAAACATTTCTCATGTTTTTTTAATTCAATATATTTAAGTGGGGTTGATTTTTACTTATACAATGGACTTGTCAAAATTCTCCCAAATTTTGCTGCAATTCAAAGTAAACACAAATCATTTGCAGTAGACAATAAATGACAATAATGAAGCTACAAAACTACATAAGCTATCATGAATAAGGATTCCTTTTATCACTATCAAGTTCAATATTCAGTACATTTTTCTGCTTCTGATCTAAAAAAGCAACAAAACAAAATGACTATATATGCTAAAGTGATAATCAACTGAGCCACAAAAGTGGCAAAAGTGCCTCCAAAGTGGCAATCAGATTTTCCCTTAATCAGCAAATCGTTAGTAATGTTTATCAATAATTTTAACCTTGACTAGTCCTGCTTTGCTAAAAAAAATAAAAAATTATTTTTTGCGTTACTTTGGACATAATAGCTCAATGTATTCCATGCTACAAGGTTATAAGCTATACAAAGGATGTAAACATGTAAAAAGCATTAAAGGGGCACTGTAGTCACTATAACAATTTCATCTCTTTAAGTTGGTTATAGTGCCTGGAGTCCCCTGTCACTGTCCCTCCATTCAGTGTTAAACCGCATAAGAGCAGTTTAACATTAAATAAGTGTCCCTGGCAACACACAGTCCAGCCCCTTTGGGAAGGTGCAGCTAAGGCAGAGATTACACACTTACTTGTAGTCATACACGTTCATACCATCAGTTGGAGGTTTAGCTGATAGGCTAAAAGCAGACGACTGACACTCTCAGCCAATCACAGCTGTCCATTGTTACTCAGGCTAATACTTCCTCATTAGCCAAAGCCATATGTTTTTGGAAAACGGAAGCATGAAAACATTATCCTTATTTTTAATTGTTTTCCTTTCATCTTTTTCTTTGCTAGATTCCCCAAAATCAAGAACTCAAGTTCTCACAAAGGAAAATATGATATTGATAACTTTTAAACCGCCAGTTGTAGGGTTTACGTTAACTTAAATACTTTGACATTGTATTTTTGCATCATTGTGTTAGACTCAACGGTCCTCTTGCATGAATCAAATGTAAAGGACCCATAAGTTACAAACAGAATAAAAAATAACATGCAAATATAACACATAATGTAAGGTACATTCTGTATACCCCTGACAGGACAACTCTATAGGGGGCGTACTGACAAACTAGAGTGGAAGTGGAGGGGGAATAAATATAATGATGGGAGATCACCCAGAGAGAAGAAAGAATGAGGTCACCATCGACCCTGAATATAGGGAGCGAAATGACAATAATCTCTGAAAGTCATTTGCAGATGTAGTGAGCAGTCAATGGGACCATACAGTATAGTCATGTACACTGGCATTTTGTCTTGGGAGCTAAAGTACAGGTCTGCAATAGAATGCAACTCTTCTTTATAGGAGTTAAAGGTACTATACTTTTAGTGACATTCAGAATCCTTATTGTGATGGATTTCTTATAATGGGATATGACCGTTGTTGTATGGTGCAACAAAATGGGGGCAAGAATAAAAGGAGGTAAAATATCTTATGCTAGCATGTCATTTGTCTTACACCAGAATATTTGTATAAGTTGCCATCCCAACTCAGGGAAAATAATGAACCAGGCCCAGTCTGGCAGTACCAGTAAGCACTATCACTTGCAGAGTCCACCGTTTGTGCAGAGGTAGAGTTGCCATTTTTAATAAATTTAGAATCACTGAACATATTTGTACAGTATCTGTATTAAAAATGTGTAAAAAAACTAAACAACAAGCTACCATAAAATAATTCCTTGTAATTACTTGTATCAGTGCCCTTAGTTTCTGTGTAAATGCCCTTGTAATAAGTATGCAGGTTTATTTCATTACCTATGACACTAAATTATGTAAGGGTATAAATTTTCAGCAATAAATAATTTCTCTACAAAAGAATTCAGATTAAATGATTGCTGGCAAAGTTAAAAGGTAGTTTAATAAAAACAGGGTAATACATTATGTATGAAAACAGAATTTCTTGACTTACAGAGTAAAATAAATTAAACACATATAGGTCCATGCTTGATAGAAGGGGATTTATTAAATCTCATAATAAACTTTAGCAACCTTTATCACACCGTTGGTAAAATATGTACCTCTATCATTTTATATATAAAATTCTGAAGAGGAAAATTCCAAAGAGGAGAGGACAGAGTATATTCTTAAACTCAAATAAATCTTCAGAAGGATCTAATTAAATGTAAGAAATCTGGACACGGTGTTTGGAGGAAATCTATTATTTACCTGTAGAAAGTGTGACAGTTGACAATAAATTATCTGATTAATCAAACAGTATTTACAATGCACTTCTTAACATTAATGGGACATTTTAAAAATTGAATAGAAGACATGCTTTTTAAAGTATTGCATCCTCAGTTTTTTCCATTGGATGTCCTCTTTGGCATCTTGCATTCTACAAACCACATATTTCCAGTGCAATTCACAACATATATCCTACACAAGCTACATGGCGTACCAGCCCCAGACAAAAAAAAATAGAGGTTCCTGCCCAACAGGGATAGCATCAAAAGAGAAACTGAGGAATCAAAGTAGACAGCAGGGTAAACCACCTGAATAGTTCATGACCTCTTCCCTAAAAGATGATCTTGTCTTCTTAGACGAAGGACGTGAAATAGGGCAGAGAGTGAATCGGAAGTTCCAGAGAATCAGTCAGAATTATGACTTTTAATTATTTACGATTGATGCTGGTTCTATTCATTGTTAAGAGGGTTGTGGCCTGTGCAACTCAATAGACTTTATTGTACAACAAACTGAATTGCAGTAATGGCTGTGTCTCCAATTCCTATGGCTCTTTTTAGGTGATCTTTCTCAATGCATGTAGTTCTCAGACATACATAGCAAAAAGATACAATGAAATAGAGATAAAAATAGAATCACATATATTAATAAATTGGTGGAAGCTATATTTCAGAAATAGTAGAATAGCCACAAAATATACAGGTATATTCACATAGAAGACTGTATATTATTCTTACAAAACAAATATACTGCAAGCATTAATAAAACAGTGTGATGTTGGTTATCATTACCAAATAAAAGAATGTGTAAAATAATTAACACTATAAATAACTAGCACATTATTTATAATAATCTTATTATGCCCTGATACAGCTTAACTGTGAACAGGGCTACCATGAGAAATTGTGAGAACGTTTACACAGCTCAAGGTCTGGGCCCCCACTGTATGCACTGAGTGTATAGTGGATGCAGAGTGAGTGTATAGTGGATGCAAACTGTGTGTGTATAGTGGATGTAGTGTGTTTCCAGGGTGAATGAGCATCATAGCCTTCTCATTTTGGATACTTGTAGCATCAAGTTAAAACCAGCACTTACTAATGTCTCACAATGGCAATAATTTAAATTATATTAAAGTATTAAGTTGAAGTTACTGAATTGTGCATTGCCTGTGGCACATAGAATCCAGACAGCTGGGAACTTGAAAGTCATAGGGTAAGTGCAGGTGGTACAAAAGAGCGCTAATAAACTTAAAAAATTGCATATCTCAAAAAATTAATTGTGCTTGGAAGTCAGAAAGAAAAATCCATAATATTTCTTGTTTGTTTGTTTAACATAGTTTGTGGGGTTAACAAAACATAATATGCCACATAATGTAAGTGCAGTATTATTATTATTATGTTATTATTTATATAGAGCCAACAAATTCCGCAGCACTTTACATTGGGTGGACGAACAAACATGTAGTTGTAACCAGACAAGTTGGACAAACAGGAACAGAGGGGTTGAGGTCCCTGCTCAATGAGCTTACATGCTAGAGAGAATGGGGTAAAGTGACACAAAAGGTAAGGATAGTATTAAATTAATGACAGTTGCAAGAGAGGAATCAGTCGGGAGCTAGGAGTGGAGACAGGGTGAGCATCTAACGCAGGAGGGAAGTGAGTTCCACAGGAACGGTGCAGCCCTCGAGAAGTCTTGAAGGCGAAAATCGGAGGTGGGAGTACGAACAGAAGATAGACGTAAGTCTTCAGCAGAGCGTAAGGGCCTAGACGGGACATACTTGTGTATTAGGGAGGATAGATAGGTGGGAACAGCATTATGTAGACCAGAATTTTAAATTGAGCCCTATATCTTACAGGGAGCCAATGTAGTGACTGACAGAAGGGTGAGGCGTGGGCGGTGCGGGCGAACAGGAAGATGAGCCTCGCCGCCGCATTCATTATGGACTGTAATGGTGCAAGTTGGGAGTATAAGTGCAGAGTTTGTATGATACCTGGACAATTGGGGCTTTTGGATTTATTGTTGCAGAAGGTAACAATGTTTGTGGTCATAATGCTTCAAGCCCAGTTGAAAAAAAAATAAACGTATTTTCGATCATTAAAAACCCCAGCATGCAAATTCCTCTCCTCCAACTACAGCACAGAGGACAGGGCAATAAAACAAGTGTAGCCCCACAGACCACATTAGTAATTGGAGATCAGAAACCTAGGTGCAGGTCTAGCAAATACCATTTCCTCCAGATGTGTACAGATGGGTGGTAATAGCAGGATGAGAATTGGTGAACAACCTCTACTCCTTCCTCAAACCCAATCAATAATAATAACTAGACAATGTCAAGTCCTGAGGTCTAAATATCTATTGATCCAGAGGATTCCATCTTGCACTGGTCCCCAATCTACCTAACCTCAAATAGGACCACACACATAATTTACCACTGGGAATAATTGTCTACATTATGTGACACTATTTAATTTTTTTATTAAAATATTGATACACACATTCAAATTAGGTAAGTGTCACATCAGTTAGTATGTGATGTGAAGATGCCAGATTCTAGAAAATTGCTTAACAGTATTGTGCATGAAGATGGATCTATGTCTATAGTATTAATGATATTTTCTTTGTTTCTTTTTTTCCTAAAACTGAAGGATGACATTAATTTATATTAAGAGTGAAGGTTTTGACAGGAGTTAGTCGTGAATAACAAAAAACTGTTGGACTCCTCTTCTCCTGCTGGCATCGTTTTTCTCAAAAGAAAATTTGAACTTTCTCTGCAAATGCATATTTTTGGAAAGCTATTAGAACATGCTTTTAATTGTTCTCACAACAATTAGATATGTGGAATGTTATACTAGTAAAATGATTACATCAAGATCTCTAAATGTTTTTAGTGTGCATCACGTGCGGTAGGTCAAAATAATGAATCAATGAAAAAAGCTCACATGAAAATTGCCCACAGAAAATCCCCACTGTCATAAATGCGCGCACGAAAAATGCCCACACAGAAAAAAGTGCACACTTGAAAATGCCCACAAGGAAAATTGCTCAAACTGAAAAATGCCCACATGGGCATATTTTGTATTTATTATTTAATTATACTTGATAAAATCACAACGCAGATTGTTGCATATGGATATGAAATATTTTAATCATAACATATTGATAACAATATAAAATATAGGTAATATCAATTCATGCTAACAGGTGGGAGATTAATAGTTATCTACAATATGTATATCTATGGTACTTTAAATAGTGCATACATCTTCACCTTAACTTAAAAATTATTATATGTTCATATAATTCAGTGTGGGCATTTTTCTTTGTGGGCTTTTTCTGTGTGCCCATTTATCCATGTGGGGGCATTTTTCCGTGTGGGCATTTATCTCTTGCACATTTATGACAGTGTTTTTTTCCTCTGTGGGCAATTTTCCCATGTGAGCATTTTTCCGTGTAAGCAATTTTCTGTGTGGGCATTTTTCCACATGGGCGATTTTGCTTGTGGGCAATTTTTTGTTTGAGCAATTTACTTGAATCCTGCAAACTACATGTCTCAAATATTTTGTAGGGAGAGTAAAGTGATAGGGGGGTATAGATGGGGGGAGAAGAAGAGAGGGAGGGTTGGCAGGGAGGGGAGTCGGGGGGGGGGGTTTGTGGGGGGATGACCCTGGGGTTCCCAGGTGGTTTGGTATGAATACCTGCGTGGTGAAGAGCGGGTGGCCGGCAAGTTTCTTCTGTCCCTTGGATCTTGATTTTTCATGACCCCAGGCTGGGTCTCCCCAGTCCCCCGCCACGGATAGCGCCCTTGTCCGCTGGAAATTATTGTGTTGCGGTGTTATCAGTTTGGTTCAGGTACCTGTCCCATATGTGTTGCGCCTTAGCTAGCGCAGGTCTCGGGCCAAATTGGTGTTGGTGCATGGCCTCATATGTCCAGTTGAGTGCGATTTGGTTTCTTAGATGTGTATGTGACGGTGTGTCCTTGGACTTCCAATGTCTCGCTATTAGGATATGTACTAATGCAAGTGTGTGGTACATTAGTGCTTGGTGTGCTTGGTGTGCTTTGGACATTCTTTCAGGGAATACGTACAGCATGCATTGTACAGGGTTTTTTCCACTTGGTAGCCTAGCATGTCTGATATGATATGTATGGCTTGTGTCCAGAGAGGTGAAAGTGCGGGGCATGTCCACCAAACGTGGAGCAACGTGCCCACTTCCTTCTCACAGCGCCAGCATGTGTTTGTGGAGGTAGGCCAAATTTTGTGTATTTTTTCCGGCACTAAGTACCAACGGTATAGTATTTTCCGTTATAATTCTAGGTGTTGGGCGCATGATGTCAGGCCTCTGTGTGCTGTGTAAGCTCTTTTCCACTGTTCTGGGCTTAACTCTATGCCTAGGTCTGCATGCCATGCCTTTTGGTAGTGTTCCTGTGTCAGTGGTTGATTGTGTAGAATCAAGTGATAGCATGTGGAGAGAGACTTGGCGTTGGGCTTGTTAGATAGGCACATGTTTTCGAACTTAGATGTTAGTGCTTGTGTTCCCTTCTCAGGGTTTATGGGTGGGTTGTTTGTTAGTAGGGATTTGACTTGTAGGTAGGGGAATAGTAGTTTCGCGGGTAGGTCAGATTGTTCCTGTAGGCTTGTGAAGGATTTGAGGTGCCCCCCGTTGTACAGATGGAGTACGTGAGTGACACCTTTATCAGTCCATGGCTTATGGTTGAAGGTGGGAATCATTAGGCTTATGGATTGCAGTGGGGCTGCCATTGGTATCCTTGGATGTGTAACCAAAGTGTTCCTCACCCTGTCCCATGTGTCTAACAGCAACCGAGTGGTGGGGAGGCCTTGGAATGGTCTCGGTCTCCGAGTGCTATCCGTCCAGAAAGTATGATGGATGTGGTCTATGTTAAGCCAAAAGGCTTCTATTACTGCCCACTGGGGTGTGTAATGGGGGTCGTGTGCTGCTAACATGGTGCTTAAAATCGCTGCCTTATAGTAATGATACAGGTTTGGAATACCCAGGGCACCTTCTGCTACCATCCTCTGCAGGACCTTAGCAGCTACCCGGCTCTTTTTGTGGTGCCACGTAAATTTCATAAATAGTGAGGTGATCAACTTAAGGTAGGTGTTTGGTAGGGGTATTTGTAGTGTCCGGAAAAGTTATAGTAGTTTTGGGAGCAGTGACATTTTGAATGCTGCTATGCGCCCCAACCATGAGAGGAACCACACCTGATTTTAAAATGTTTCGGGGCTTTAAAGCTAATTTGTACATGAGAGCACAGAATTATGTTTCATCAATTAGTTCCAGCAGAAAATTCAGGAAATAATATAATACTTGTATCCAAACGCTGCTTTGTTCTCCAAATCTAATTCTAAACTACTTCACTTGTTTTAATATTTTGAAAATATATTTTACAAGATTAAATATTAAAGGATGGTAATCATTTCACTGAATTTAGGTACAAGAGCACAATTGGATACGTAAGTACAAAAAATGTGAAACATTTCTATTTTTACTATTATGGCTCCAGGAAATCGAATACTGTGAAACATGAAGATTTCACTTATTGTCTTCTTTTTCATGTTGAGAATCATGTAACACAGCCTTTAGCCATGTATAACATGTTGTAGACTGCCTTACTGAATGTCAAAGACTTGGCACAAAAAGAAAAAAATCTACTCATGGAAGGGGAATAAAAACAATATTAATGGTGAGTGGAAATTAAAATCTCATTCATCCTAGTAGATACCCTCATTATACCAGCTTTTTTTTTAAACAAATGATTCTACCAATGTAATTTCCAGTAGAAGATGTAATTTCCGTTCAATTTAACTATGAGTTATGAACCACTGGAATTACTCCAATATAGTAATTATATGAGATTTGATCTCTCAGAGAAAATGCAAAACTGTACCAACAGAAAAAGAAGGAAGATGTGAAATGTTAGCATCAAAATAGCACAAACAAGTCAAAGTTATCACTGACGTTTAATTATATATATAACCACTGTAGAGGACATAGTGTTCAAAGATAAAGACAGCAAGAGCACACCACCTTAAATAAAAATATATAAAAAAAGAAATATAGAACATCAAAGGTTTCAAAAATATCTATATAAACCAACAAGCTTTTGAGTAGTTGTCCATCTTGCTAGAAATTGCATTTCAGTTGGTAAATGCTACATCTACATGTGAAATACAATCTAACCTTGCTACGTACAGCAGTCTCTTTAGTATGCTGACAAAAAGCTTGAGATCACAAATTGTAACTAGTATCCAAACACTGACTACACCTCCACCAGACTACCTGGAAACAACAACCAAAAAACATATTACCAGTAAATCCACTACAGGGGAGGGTGACAAGGGGCTCCCACGTAACATAGGCTCCGATACCTTGCCATAAGGTCCCTTAATGCAGGGAAGGGCTAGCAACTCTGATGCTAGAGTAGGAAGTGCAACTTAATGGTAAAATAAGTTTTGGTTACTCCACTTTGCATTCTCTATTTTGAAATGATTATATACCTTTCATTTTTTATTATTTATTTTCTTGCAATGCTCCTTAACTAACGATGGGGTCTCTGTCCAGTTTGCCATCTTTCATGTAAATAGAAGTTAATATGTACAAGGCAGAATTTGTTCTCTTGTTACCATTATAAATAAGACCTGCGAGTCTCACATTGTACCTTCTTTCTGATACCTGACTTGATACAAAAATCTTAATAAAAACAGATTTACCAAAAGAAAAATTGAAACTAGTATAAGTCAGCTGGTAAGCAGGAAACAGATACTCAGAGTTTTGGCTTATTCACCCAAAGGTTGGAATCTTTCTAGCAGCTTTTAATCAGTGGAAATAAATCACTAGCATGTATACACATGGAAAAGCCCATGCTAGATATGTATAAACAGTCTCAGAAAATAATACTACTCAAACCCTATGACTCGTCCTCAAGTGCCAGAAGAGGATCCCTTAGGTATTCAATGGGCCTATCTGAGAACAATAATTTAGAAATTGGAACCTTCATGAAATGCAACAGCAGTGTCAGATGACATTGTCAGTGAAGGCAGAATTATTTTGTTTGTAAAAAGGGTTCCCTGATCTGTCTCCAAAAAAAGGAGATAAGCAGGCAAACACAGGAATGTTAAAGATAGAACCTCTGGAGTTCTGAAACACTGGGCCAATATTTTACAATTCAATTCCTATTTTTGTGTCCAAAGATAGGTTTACCAACCAAAATAAGCATTTTAATTAATCGTTCCACTATAAGGAATGTGATTGTCAAAATTGCAATTCTGAACATATAGTATAGGGCTCATTTTTAATATTCCAATCCAATACTGCTATAAGTGGTGTCCAGAAATATAGAAAAGGTGGGATTTTGACCATGTCAACAATATTAAAGGCTCAGGCACCTGTTAATGTGCTGATAAATGTTAAATATGAAGTTGATATATACACAGTGAGGGAAAAAAGTATTTGACCCACTGCTGATTTTGAACGCTTGTCCACTGACAAAGAAATAATCAGTCTATAATTTTAATGGTAGGTGTATTTTAACAGTGAGAGACAGAATAAAAAAAAAATCCAGAAAAACGCATGTCAAAAAAGTTATAAATTGATTTGCATGTCAATAAGTGAAATAAGTATCTGGGTTCCATGTGTCTTTTATACAGGTAACAAGTTGAGATTAGGAGCACTCTCTTAAAGGGAGTGTTCCTAATCTCAGCTCTTTCCAGTATAAAAGATACCTGTTCACAGAAGCAATCAATCAATCAAATTTCAAACTCTCCACCATGGCCAAGACCAAAGAGCTGTCCAAGAATGTCAGGGACAAAATTGTAGACCTACACAAGGCTGGAATTGGCTACAGGACCATTGTCAAGCAGCTTGGTGAGAAGGTGACAACAGTTGGTGCGATTTTTCGCAAATGGAAGAAACACAAAATAACTGTCAGTCTCCCTCGGTCGGGTGCTCCATGCAAAATCGCACCTCGAGGAGTTTCAATGATCATGAGAATGGTGAGGAATCAGTCCAGAACTACACAGGAGGATCTTGCTAATGATCTCAAGGCAGTTGGGACCATAGTTACCAAGAAAACAATTAGTAACACTACGCCCTGAATGACTGAAATCCTGCAGCGCAATGGTCCCCCTGCTCAAGAAAGCACATGTACAGGCCCGTCTGAAGTTTGCCAATGAACATCTGAATTATTCAGAGGAGAACAGGGTGAAAGTGTTGTGGTTAGATGAGAATAAATCGAACTCTTTGGCATCAACTCAAATAGCCGTGTTTGGAGGAGGAGGAATGCTGCCTATTACCCCAAGAATATCATCCCCACCGTCAAACATGGAGGTGGAAACATTATGCTTTAGGGGTGTTTTCTGCTAATGGGACAGGAAAACTGCACCGTATCAAAGGGACGATGGACGGGGCCATTTTCCGTCATATCTTGGGTGAGAACCACCTTCCCTCAGCCAGGGCATTGAAAATGGGTCATGGATGGGTATTCCATCATGACAATGACCCAAAACAAACATCCAAGGCAACAAAGGTGTGGCTCAAGAAGGAGCACATTAAGGTCTTGGAGTGGCGTAGCCAGTCTCCAGACCTTAATCCCATAGAAAATCTGTGGAGGGAGCTGAAGGTTTGAGTTGCCAAACGTCAGCCTCAAAACCTTAATGACTTGGAAAAGATCTGCAAAGAGGAGTGAGACAAAATCCCTCCTGAGATGTGTGCAAACCTGGTGGCCAACTACATGAAACGTCTGACCTCTGTGATTGCCAACAAGGGTTTTGCCACCAAGTACTAAGTCGAAGGGGTCAAATACTTATTTCACTCATCGACATGCAAATCAATTTATAACTTTTTTGACATGCGTTTTTCTGGATTTTTATTGTTGTTATTTTGTCTCTCACTGTTAAAATTATGGATTGATAATTTCTTTGTCAGTGGATAGCAGGGGATCAAATACTTTTTTCCCTCACTGTACAGGGCTGGATAAACATAGGGGCTGATGGAGCTTCAGCGCCAGGCCCATGTCCATGGAATAGGCACATTGATTAAAAATATATATATATATATATATTTTTTTTTTTTTACACACCACTCTTCACATACTCTTGCTTAAGTATGGAAACTTGAGAGGAATGTATGGGAACAAAACCTGTGTAGACTGGCTGACAATGAAATTAGTTAAGGTAATGCTGACTTTGGTCTCTCTAACACTGTGGCATGTTCCCTTTCTTCTACACTCACTACATATAACTTTTCTCTGTCCCAGACAGTATAACAGGAGTTTCTGCCTGCTAGTAAGAAGGTAAGGAGACAAATGGACCAGCGAGTGCTAGAGGACAGTCCTTAGAAAGCTTGGTACCAACACATCATTAGACGCATTTATGCCAAGCTCATAGGCGTGCGCAGCCTATTGCATTAGGGTGTGCACCCTAAAGCACAAACACACGCCGCGCGTGTGTGTGTATATATATATATATATATATATACACACACACACATACATATATATATATATATTCACAGACTCACAGACACACACACATACTCACACACTGACACACACACACACTCACTGACACACACACACTGACACATACTCACACACTCACTGACACACACACTCACAGACACATACTCACACACTCACAGACACACACTGACACACACTCACAGACACACACTGACACACACTCACAGACACATACTCACACACTCACAGACACACACACTGACACATACTCACACACTCACTGACACACACACTCACAGACACATACTCACACACTCACAGACACACACTCACAGACTCACAGACACATACTCACACACTCACAGACACACACACTGACACATACTCACACACTCACTGACACACACTCACAGACACATACTCACACACTCACAGACACACACTGACACACACACATACTCACACACTCACTGACACACACTCACACACTCACACACACACACAAATTATTATATTTTAATTTTTTTTTTAAATGTCCACCCAGCCTCCTACCTGGAGTGCTGGTGGACTTGTCCCTGGGGTCCAGTGGGGCGGGCGCCTTTCTCCAGCTCAGCTGCGGCGAGGGAGCTGTCTGCTCTCTGCTCTCTGCTTCCTCTCGCCGCGCGGGCTGTCTGCTGTAGCTGGGAGCCGGAATATGACGTCATATTCCGGCTCCCGGCATCAGCGCGCGGCGAGAGGGAGCAGAGAGCAGAGAGCTCCCTCGCCGCGGCTGAGCTGCAGGGTGGAGGGGGAATCATCACCTCTTGCCCTCCCATGACAGGGGCAAGAGGTGAAACAGGGGACACTGAGTGCCTGCAGGAACAGCGTTCCTGCTCAAAAAAAGTGCAGGAACGCTGTTCCTGCAGGACTCAAACCATAGGCGTGCGCACAGGGATTAGGGTGTGCCCAGGCACACCCGGCACACCCCGTGCGCACGCCTATGGCCAAGCTCGAGGTGCAGTCTGCATAGTATGTCCTAAGTTGGCCAGCCTGCATGAGTGACAGGCAGCCTGATGTGCATTCAGGCCAGGCTGGCCTTCCAATTTTTTGTAAAAAGATTCAATATGTACAGGCACTCTTTTATGGTGCTAGGTATACATATGATACGGCACTCAATTATAGATGTAAAGCAAAACTATATATTTATTATTCTGCCTTTTATAAGTCAGATATCTCTTAAGCTCAGTAGAATATACAAATATGACAAAGAACAGTGTGTTACATAAAGTTATATAGAAACATAGAATGTGACGGCAGATAAGAACAATTCGGCCAATCTAGTCTGCCCAATTTTCTAAATACTTTTGTAAGTCCCTAGCCTTATCTTATAGATAGGATAGCATTATGCCTATCCCACGCATGCTTAAACTCCTTTACTGTGTTAACCTCTACCACTTCAGCTGGAAGGCTATTGCATGCATCCACTACCCTCTCAGTAAAGTAATACTTCCTGATAATATTTTTAAACCTTTGTCCCTCTAATTTAAGACTATGTCCTCTTGTTGTGGTAGTTTTTCTTCTTTTAAATATAGTCTCCTCCTTTACTGTGTTGATTCACTTTATATATTTAAATGTTTCTATCATATCCCCCCTGTCTCGTCTTTCCTCCAAGCTATACATGTTAAGATCCTTTAACCTTTCCTGGTAAGTTTTATCCCGCAATCCATGAACCAGTTTAGTAGCCCTTCTCTGAACCCTCTCTAAGGTATCAATATCCTTCTGAATATACGGTCTCCAGTACTGTGCACAATACTCCAAGTGAGGTCTCACCAGTGTTCTGTACAATGGCATGAGCACTTCCCTCTTTCTACTGCTAATACCTCTCCTTATACAACCAAGCATTCTGCTAGCATTTCCTGCTGCTCTATTGCATTGTCTGCCTACCTTTAAGTCATCAGAAATAATAACCCCTAAATCCCTTTCCACATATGTTGAGGTTAGGACTCTTTCAAATATTCTGTACTCTGCCCTTGGGTTTTTACGTCCAAGATGCATTATCTTGCACTTATCCACATTAAATGTCAGTTGCCACAATTCTGACCATTTTTCTAGTTTACCTAAATCATTTGTCATTTGACTTATCCCTCCTGGAACATCAACCCTGTTACATATCTTAGTATCATCAGCAAAAAGGCATACCTTACCATCAAGACCTTCTGCAATATCACTAATAAAAATATTAAAGAGAATGGGTCCAAGTACAGATCCCTGAGGTACCCCACTGGTGACAATTCCAAGCTTCGAATATATTCCATTAACTACAACCCTCTGTTGCCTGTCACTCAGCCACTGCCTTACCCATTCAACAATGTTGGAATCCAAACTTAAAGATTGCAGTTTATTGATAAGCCTTCTATGTGCAACAGTGTCAAAAGCCTTACTGAAATCTAGGTAAGCAATGTCTACTGCACCACCTGATCTATAATTTTAGTTACCCAATCAAAAAAATCAATAAGATTAGTTTGGCATGATCTCCCTGAAGTAAACCCATGTTGTCTCTGATCTTGAAATCCATATGTTTTTAGATGTTCAACAATCCTATCCTTTAACATGGTTTCCATCACTTTCCCCACTACTGAAGTAAGGCTTACTGGCCTATAGTTGCCCGACTCCTCCCTATTACCTTTCTTGTAAATGGGCACAACATTAGCTAACTTCCAATCTTCTGGGACTACTCCTGTTAACAATGATTGGTTAAATAAATCTGTTAATGGTTTTGCTAGTACACCACTAAGCTCTTTTAATAGCTTTGGGTATATTCCATCAGGTCCCATTGACTTATTTGTCTTTACTTTTGACAGTTGAAATAGAACCTCTTCCTCTGTAAACTCACGTGTAATAAATGACTCATTTATCCTTTTTCTCAACTGAGGTCCCTCTCCTTCAGATCCTATATGGTCTCAACTATGCAACATCTTAGGTGATTGGGCAGACATGCCACCTTTTTAGGCATGTTAGCCCCTTTTGGCAGTACTGGTTACGTGATTCGCATCAGTGGTACACCCTTTTACCCCGACCATTGACTTCCTGCTTCACTGAACACTGCTGTTAGAGGGAAAGAACCGCCCTGGACTGACAAGGAAGATGGAACATGACTGGTGCCAGAGATAAGGGGTTTGGACAGTAGGGATACAATTGTTGCAAAGTGGGGAACATATTTATAGGGGGTCACTGGGTGGAGACTTACCAGTCAGCTAAGAAAAGTGCAGAGATCCTGACTTTCCCACCCTTCCTCCCTAGGTAGTCTGGTGAGGAATCTTGGTTTGTCTCTGTGTGTGCTTTGGTTTTTCTTTCTCTTATTGTTTTGTCACAGCGTCCGGGATTCCTGGCCAGCGCAGTCATAAGCCGAAGAAGGTGCCAAGGTGGCTTGGGGAGTTGCAGCCTGCTAAAAGCTGATGGCGGCGGCAGGCTGCTCCGAACTCATGGTTCAATGGGATAGATCGATCTGTTGGTGAAGCATCCCAACAGCCGACAGGGTTTAAGAAGTTGCTGGCATTTTTAATTGAATAAAGCTGTGGCCATTGCCCATACCCAACATACTAAGGTCTCACGTGTTTTATTCTGGCAACGGGAGTGGGGCTTGGTGGTTAGTCAGCAGTCATGGAGTTACTTGAAAGATGAAAGAGAGATTAGCATACGATATGTGTTTTCTGATAGCTATATCCTGAGTTTCCCTCCAGCTCCATCTCCATCAGATTCATGACTCTTGGGAAGTAAAACTGTTTTTATTCCAATAATCACCTCAGAGTAAATACATAGCAGAATGCATGGTATTACTATTTATAATATTGCTGAGAAGCAACCTAGATGTGCCTAAAATAATTTCTAAATGGCTGTCTGAATATATAGCGTAAGCAAAACAATGTCACTGAATGCACGACAATCTATTTTTAATATCTCTATACAAATGGAAAAAAACGCAGTGTAATATATATATAAATGTTTTCTCCCTTTTTTGACTAAGAAGTTCTGACATTTATCCTTTACTACTCTTTTTACCTGTATAATGATATCTAAGGATTCGGAGTGATACATTACTCTTGGTACAATTATGCTTTCAATTGCTGTTTGTTGGTACTTTGCTCCCTGTAGTTAGATTGGAATCTCTGCAGGTTTGATTGCTTATGCCTGCATTTTTGTATTTGTAGTATAAGTTATATGTCTTCTTTATGCATTATCTATTCCTTAGGTAGTACAGTTTGTATATTTATATCTTGTTAATAGGTTGCTACAGGCTAATTGCAGTTTGATCGCTTTTCGATTAGTTCTGCCTGCTGTCTATCTCTAACGGATTTTCTCTGTATCTAGATGGCCCCTGATGGGGTGTTTAGGTCTTTCTTCAACATTTTTTATTCCTGTATGCAGGCTATGTTTTTAGTTATATGTATATGTATTATTTTGTTGGTTATACTGGGTTGCTATGGGAACGACCCTGGGAGGCGCACGTCTATGACATCATCAGTGTCAATCATTTGACCTGAGCAGGCTGCTGGTCAGGTGCCCCTTGGATCACTCCTATCCTCAACCTGGGTAAGTTAAGGGAATACTGAGGGTATATATTCTTGTGGATTTGATTTGCAAGCTCATCCTGATGAAAGTCTGTGATACAGACTGAAACGTTGATTTTTATTTTGAGCTAATAAAAGCTAAGTTTTATTCATTCAACTTGGAAGTCCCTGGAGTGCTATCTTGTACTTTTGGCTGTATCTGTTTGCTGATAAGCACCGGGCAAGTACATCAAGGAAGGTGGAGTGCATTACTATTTTTGTTTTGTATGATTTTGGGCTATTGGCAATATCCCTGGTTTTTGCACCCCTTAGTAGACTTGCGCAACACTATTGGTTCGCACTACTTGGTGAGATTTATAGTTATTTACTTTTTTCTAATTATTGGTTTGCACTTTTGCTGCAATAACCTGTTTTCATCTGAGTACCATACCTTCATCTAGTATTATACTTATTTGTTTTTATGGAAGACTTTTTCACCCTAGCCGGGGGGCTATCTGAACAAGCAGAGATCCTCCAATATAGTGAAGGAGATGCTGAGAGGATTCGTTGGACTTCCTCTACTACTGATCTCCCTAATACTACCTCCTTGAAGGATATTTATTTCCAACTTTTGCGTTTAAGAAAGCGAGAGACGGATCTGGACCTTCATGGTCTTTTTCTCTCGGATTATCATCGGAAACTTCAAATACCTAGGGGGTTTCGAGTCAGTAATGTCCCTACTATAGGTAGACTTAAACCTATGACATGCAAAAAATGGATTGGGGTCTTGAATAAATGTTCCCTCGATCTTATGTTAATTATAATTGAAGATGTAAAGGAAGAATTGACACAAGTAAGACGTAAAATAGCGGAATTACAAACACAGGAAGCACTTATCCTATCCTCCACAGAGGCGGCGACCACTCTATTGAAATTGGAGGATAATGTTAAAACCTATAAGACAGATCTAATCAGGTTTAAGAGAGAGAAACAAGCTGTTGTCTCAGCTGACTACAAGGAACATCGGGTGTATAGGTGGCTCAGTGGCCATAGTGATACCCCGAGGTTTGCAAGACGCCGGAGACCGGTCCGCAAACCAAGACAATTTACCATCGACAAATCCTCAGGCGAATCCAACTCCGAATCAGATGCTGCTAATCCATCCATTCAACGTAAGCCTAACCAAGATTCAAGGGTAGCTTTTTTAGAGTCCCGTCCCACAGAACATCAGGGGATAATTACGAGGTACCAGAGCAGAGCAGGCAACACAGACACAGGTACATCACAAGACGAGGACAGAGGGGACGCACATGGTGGGGCAAGAGAAAGGCCACCTCGGATGAGAAGATAATTCCAGTCTTCAATTTATCATCTAGAACCCTCCTCCCTGACGAACTCCTGTTGCTGTCTAAAGGACTGTCATTTGTCCCCACTACACGGCCAGATCCATTGAAGTGGAAGGTGGAACTTTATAAGTTTGGCAGAACACTGCGCCTGAAAGATTTCTTTAAGGAATCAATGTGTGAGACTCCACTGACAAGCCCTATCTTTAAGAAAAAGAGCACATTTGACCCACTTCCTAATCAGCCTGGGATCAAGGCCTTTTTACGTGCGGTACAAAAGGAATCTTCTGATTTTCTTCAGGAGAAACATTGTTATCACTCCAACTGCTCCAAAAAAGACAGAGACATCATCAAATCTCTCTCAACAGACAATAACATTGTTATAAGACCGGCAGACAAAGGGGGAGGAATAGTCCTGCAGAACTATTCAGACTATCAGTCAGAAATCCTCCAGCAGTTGTCGGATACCAATACCTATCTGCCACTACCTGGTGATCCCACTGGGAACGTTCACCAGCAAATCATGGATGCCTTACAGAGGGGCCTCAGAAGTAATTATATTGATATGCAACTATATCAATATTTACTCCAAGATAAACCAAAGACACCGATCATCTACACTCTCCCTAAAATTCACAAGGATAGCACCAGACCACCAGGCCGCCCAATTGTTTCAGCCATTGGGGGGATTCTTGAGCCTGTGGCAAAATGGCTGGATTTCCTATTCAAAGACACTATTGAGAACCTAGATACAGTCCTGAAAGACACTCCTACCTTCCTCAGTCTTCTAGCCACTTTAACACTTCCGACAGTACCTGTAGTGTTGGTAACATGTGATGTAAGGAGCTTATATACCGTAATTCCACACCAAGACGGTATACAAGCTATGAGAGCACTTCTATCTCAGTCTCCCTACTATACCGGACCACCCGTGGAGTTTGCACTGGAACTCTTGGAGATCGTCCTGTCTCAGAACTATTTTAGGTTTGAAACTAAATGGTACCGCCAGATTGCAGGTACTTCCATGGGTGCGGCGATGGCACCCATGTATGCAAATGGATACATGCATCAGTTTGAGAGCTTACATATTCTACAGCCCTTTAAAGAACAGATTGTAGCATACACACGCTACATCGATGACATCTTTATGATTGTTAAGGGCACTACTACAGATGTAGAACAAATGATTCAGTCCATCAATAGAGCGTCTTCTAACATTGAGCTGACTTCAGCAATCAGTACGGATCAGGTCGATTTTCTGGATGTCAGAGTTTACCGTGAAGGGGACAAATTGGCACATACATTATTTACAAAAACAACAGATCGCAACACATTGCTGCATGCAACCAGTTTTCACCCGTCTGCCTTAAAGGAATCCCTACCATACTCCCAATTTTTGAGAGTTTTTCGAAACAATTCTGACCTTGAGAAGGCACAGATTCAAATTTCATCTATGTGGCACAAGTTTAAGATGAGAGGGTATAAGGATAGCACGCTTCAACGTGCGTTATTGAAATGCCAAAGTGAAGATTTGGCTGTTAAAGAAATAACACATGCCCCTCGTATAGTATTCCCTACTACGTACACCTCGGCATCGATGGAGTTTAATAACATTATTAAGAAGAATTGGATTGTTTTAACCAATGACCCGTCATTACCAGCTGAGTTCAAAAATCCCCCCCCTGACATGCTACAAAAGAAATCAAAATCTAAGGGATCTCCTGGTATGCACTGACCCCATTCATTGCTATCAACCTCCATCTAGCAAGATTAATTACGGATGCTACCGTTGCTTAGGTTGTGTGACCTGTGGACATATGCTGTCAGGCAAAACATTCACACACCCTCACTCTGGGAAACCCTACACCATTCGACATCGCTTAACGTGTACATCGGATTTTGTAATATACAAACTTACTTGCCCATGTGGACTGGCCTATGTGGGCAAAACAGATTTACCCTTACGTGAACGAATCCGTAACCATAGATCCAGTATACGGACTGCTTATAGGGACAACAAATCTGAGCAACCCGTGGCAAAACATTTTCTTGAGAAGGGACACTCGTTGCCCACCCTGAAACTGATAGCCATAGACCATGTTCCACCTTTGCGCAGAGGTGGAGACCGCAGTAAACTGTTATTGCAGCGTGAACTGTACTGGATTAGGACTCTACACACCGTTCAGCCATTTGGTTTGAATGAAAAATACTCATTGGCAGTATTTTTGTAAATATTGGTATCGTGGTTTTGGTTGATAGGGGAACGAGAATGCCCACCCAGGGGGATAGGCATCTCTAATATCCTTCCCATTATACCGCTTTGCTATTCACATATTTAGCAAGTTGTTGGCACTTATTGGCGACTATTAAGGGCTTGGAGGTAGCCCACCCTGGGGGATAGGCATCTCAGCCATTCTTAATTTCAGCCTAAGGCTCTAATGCATTTTTGTGCTTCTTACTAAAAAAAATCTAAAAAAATCTTTAGGATGATTCATGTTATCTGTCTGATGGCGGATGAGTTTAGGGTTAAGAGACAGCCCACCCTGGGGGATAGGCGTCTCAATTACCCATTCCACCCAGTGCGAATAGGATTATTATTATATGTCTATAACAATGTGATTTTGTTAAGGACCTTTGCTTTATGTCCTTCGCTTGTATTATTTTGTATTCTGTATGCATTATGTGATTTATGCTAGTCTATATAGATTCAGGGATACATTGGTTCTTAGCTCTGCTGCTTGAGTGTTTGAGTTATTTATGTATTTATTTATGTGTTCATGTTGGACTAGACTGGGAGTACACCAGTCATTCTTGGTACCCTCTTCTCTCTAGATCACTGCAGCTCTACTTAGTGGCTATACTTGTATCTTCTGGTTATTGTGCATTACGTTCTTTTCCCCATAGGTTTAGTTGGTGGATATTTAATCACATATATCTGGTATCGTCTGTTCATGTTTTCTCCCTTTTTTGACTAAGAAGTTCTGACATTTATCCTTTACTACTCTTTTTACCTGTATAATGATATCTAAGGATTCGGAGTGATACATTACTCTTGGTACAATTATGCTTTCAATTGCTGTTTGTTGGTACTTTGCTCCCTGTAGTTAGATTGGAATCTCTGCAGGTTTGATTGCTTATGCCTGCATTTTTGTATTTGTAGTATAAGTTATATGTCTTCTTTATGCATTATCTATTCCTTAGGTAGTACAGTTTGTATATTTATATCTTGTTAATAGGTTGCTACAGGCTAATTGCAGTTTGATCGCTTTTCGATTAGTTCTGCCTGCTGTCTATCTCTAACGGATTTTCTCTGTATCTAGATGGCCCCTGATGGGGTGTTTAGGTCTTTCTTCAACATTTTTTATTCCTGTATGCAGGCTATGTTTTTAGTTATATGTATATGTATTATTTTGTTGGTTATACTGGGTTGCTATGGGAACGACCCTGGGAGGCGCACGTCTATGACATCATCAGTGTCAATCATTTGACCTGAGCAGGCTGCTGGTCAGGTGCCCCTTGGATCACTCCTATCCTCAACCTGGGTAAGTTAAGGGAATACTGAGGGTATATATTCTTGTGGATTTGATTTGCAAGCTCATCCTGATGAAAGTCTGTGATACAGACTGAAACGTTGATTTTTATTTTGAGCTAATAAAAGCTAAGTTTTATTCATTCAACTTGGAAGTCCCTGGAGTGCTATCTTGTACTTTTGGCTGTATCTGTTTGCTGATAAGCACCGGGCAAGTACATCAAGGAAGGTGGAGTGCATTACTATTTTTGTTTTATATATATACATATATACATTTAAAAAAAAAATATATATATATATATATATATATATACACAAACATCTTGAAAAAGACCCTTAAAGGGTCAAAATGTAGATTGATTTGTACACAGAAATTATGATTTATTGATTGATTTTTTCCATAAATATATCAGTAACCTTTAACCTAAGACCTGTGAGTGCACCGTATTTTTCCTTTTATGATATAAATATATACACACACACATATATATATATATATATATATATATATATACAGTTGCAAGAAAAAGTATGTGAACCCTTTGGAATGATATGGATTTCTGCACAAATTGGTCATAAAATGTGATCTGATCATCATCTAAGTCACAACAATCACAGTCTGCTTAAACTAATAACACACAAAGAATGAAATGTTGCCATGTTTTTATTGAACACACCATGTAAACATTCACAGTGCAGGTGGAAAAAGTATGTGAACCCTTGGATTTAATAACTGGTTGAACCTCCTTTGGCAGCAATAACTTCAACCAAACGTTTCCTGTAGTTGCAGATCAGACGTGCACAACGGTCAGGAGTAATTCTTGACCATTCCTCTTTACAGAACTGTTTCAGTTCAGCAATATTCTTGGGATGTCTTGTGTGAATCGCTTTCTTGAGGTCATGCCACAGCATCTCAATCAGGTTGAGGTCAGGACTCTGACTGGGCCACTTCAGAAGGCGTATTTTCTTCTGTTTAAGCCATTCTGTTGTTGATTTACTTCTATGCTTTGGGTCATTGTCCTGTTGCAACACCCATCTTCTGTTGAGCTTCAGCTGGTAGACAGATGGCCTTAAGTTCTCCTGCAAAATGTCTTGATAAACTTGGGAATTAATTTTTCCTTCGATGATAGCAATCCGTCCAGGCCCTGACGCAGCAAAGCAGCCCCAAACCATGATGCCCCCACCACCATACTTCACAGTTGGGATGAGGTTTTGATGTTGGTGTGCTGTGCCTTTTTTTCGCCACACATAGTGTTGTGTGTTTCTTCCAAACAACTCAACTTTGGTTTCATCTGTCCACAGAATATTTTGCCAGTACTGCTGTGGAACATCCAGGTGCTCTTGTGCAAACTGTAAACGTGCAGCAATGTTTTGTTTGGACAGCAGTGGCTTCCTCTGTGGTATCCTCCCATGAAATCCATTCTTGTTTAGTGTTTTACGTATTGTAGATTCGCTAACAGGGATGTTAGCATTTGCCAGTGACTTTTGTAAGTCTTTAGCTGACACTCTAGGATTCTTCTTCACCCCATTGAGCAGTCTGCGCTGTGCTCTTGCAGTCATCTTTACAGGACGGCCACTCCTAGGGAGAGTAGCAGCAGTGCTGAACTTTCTCCATTTATAGACAATTTGTCTTACCGTGGACTGATGAACAGCAAGGCTTTTGGAGATACTTTTATAACCCTTTCCAGCTTTATGCAAGTCAGCAATTCTTAATCGTAGGTCTTCTGAGAGCTCTTTTGCCGAGGCATCATTCACATCAGGCAATGCTTCTTGTGAAAAGCAAACCCAGAACTGGTGTGTGTTTTTTATAGGGCAGGGCAGCTGTAACCAACATCTCCAATCTCATCTCATTGATTGGACTCCAGTTGGCTGACATCTCACTCCAATTAGCTCTTGGAGATGTCATTAGTCTAGGGGTTCACATACTTTTTCCACCTGCACTGTGAATGTTTACATGGTGTGTTCAATAAAAACATGGCAACATTTCATTCTTTGTGTGTTATTAGTTTAAGCAGACTGTGATTGTCTATTGTTGTGACTATGCCATAATTTCAATACTTATCAAGGATGTAAAAATAATACAGATCGTTTTGAAAAAGGAAGGCTGAACTTGATGGACACATGTCTCTTTTCAGCCTATGTAACTATTTAACCTTTTCTGCAACTTGCCTGCAAAGGCCCCCAATGTATCCATGTAAAGAAGTTATATCATGTTTATCCTGTCTTACCAACTTTTGTGTTATCTGCAAACACCGACAGATTACTTTCAATACCCACTTCAACTTTTAATATCTACTATATGGTATAGTAACAACCATATTTAAACAGATTAAAAAGAAGTGGACCCAGGACAGAATCCAGTGGTGGCATGTGTGCCTTACGTTTGTATTTTAAAAAGGGCATCTGAATGCAATCTAAGGAACAAAATTCTAGAACACCACTTTGCATTATACTGCCTAAGGGAAAAAGTTTTTAATTGACCTACATTGGAAAGAAAGTGTACCATTACTATTGATTTTTTTTATTTTTTTTGTTATTATTATTATTTTTGTTGACCTTAAAGTGAATTAAGAAATCTGCTTTAGAGACAATTCTTGTTTTGGGAACCATGATTCATGCTTTTCCTCCCGACTTGTATTAGATAATGTAAAATTTCAGACAGAAGACCAAAGGGCAGCTCCTTAATGTAACTGTTAGTTAAATTCAATGCTGCCTTCATATCTCTAAACTTTCTTTAGAATCTGAGCAGCATATGAACTCTGGTGCATAATGAATTGCTGATCCCTGTAGTTTTCAAACCGAAACAGAACAGACAAAAGGCATATTACCTCAAAATACTATAGGAGCAGATGTTTTAATTTACAGAAATGACTTTTTCAAAATGTACTTTTAGAAAAATGTGCATAGTAACAGTTTACAAAGTTCTAATTTTCCATTCAACATTCTGTAGGTATTCTGCAGTTCAATAAGAGGTCTAAACATACATTTTGCTTATGTTGTGTTCATTTAAAGGAACCAAGCACCATAACCACTACAGTTGGTGCAAGAAGTGTAATCAAGCCTTTTTTGTATGATTTGACTTTTTTACCTAGGGTCCACTTCCTAACGTACAGTATGAGGAAACCTTGGCAGATCCTAAACTGGTAAGTGTTATTATTAGCAGTTTGTTAATAATTCATCAACTAATTTGACTATATATTTCTTGAAATATACCAAACAAAAAATAAATTACTTGTGCCTAGGTGCTAGTATATAATATCATTATAACCCCAGTGCCACTGACCACCTACTTTGGCACAAATTTAAAGTATAACAATAAAAAACACAAGGTGGGGAGTGCACATATATTTTGAGCAATAAATACTTATATAAATTGGTCCGTATACCTAATATCGATCTTATTCGTTCCAAATGCACTCCATCCAAGATCGATATTACGTATACGGACTGATATGCGATTAAACAAGACGGCCGATGCAACATAACACACATGTGCTCGGTAGTGTATGAACGACTGACTGAAGTTGAGGCTTAAATTTGGAACGCACAGTCCAGACGTCATTGGACAGGTCCCGGAACCGCTGAATACTGGGTAAATGCCAGAGAATGGCATCAATTGGAGTCTGAGGATTTAAATACTGTTATGCATACCGGGCTGATTATGCACTTGTGAAAGACAATTTGTTGAAACGCGTTATGCTTTTTACTATTTCTTAGTTTTTTATTTGTTGGCATTAAAGTATTTTATCTCTATGTATCTGCTGTATCCTGGAACTCCTTTTATTGGACTGTTGGAGCAGTTTACCGTGGTGGATATACTTTACTACATGTCTTCACAGCCAGAGCCTGCTATAAGTGTC